ATAGCAATATTTAGACTGAATACAGGCTGCTGTTGGACATGGACAGGTAATATCTTTTTGACTTGCTATCACCAGGATCTGGAGCTGTATTGTAAACAAACACTGAAGCTCAATTTGATGAAAATAGGAATAGAAATGTTTTAACAGACTGAAATAATAACACATTAGCTCCTTGGCTGGCAACTCATGAGATACAAGCAGACCAGTGGATCAGAAGGTTACAATTAGCTAATAACCTTTAGTGATATAAGTAGCTAAAGATTATTAGCTAACTAGCTAGTTAGCTAGCTAACGTAACTAATGTCCCCACATTATCAAAACAGTTTACACTTTTGATGTATTTCAGTTAAAGTGTGTTTTAAATCTACATCACTGATGTGTGTCATGAAATTACCTCTTCATCTTCTTTCTCCTGCAGCAACCATTAATGGCAAGCCATGCTTTTGTGTGAGTGCACTGCAACATCATGACATCAACAACACTGGACACAAAACCTGTTTTCATTCGATCCTGTATTGTCCTCAATAGACAAGTTCGGAAAATATAAGATTTGAAAATAATTCCAGAAAATGATGCTAAACTATGTTATTATTAGTATAATTAATTTGAGCCAGGACACTTACTTATACTCTTAAGAGAAGAAGAGCAGTTAGCAGGTGGGTTTGATAAGATCTTGCAGTACTGTCAGTTGATTCTGGGTAAGCTAAGTAAGCTTTGATAAAGTAAGGTGGCATATAAAAATCAGCACATGCCTGTTGATACTACACGATTCCAATAACAATCACCCTTTTATGCAGTGATTGCTGCTAATATTTAGCTAGCAGTACACTACAGATGGAAAGTGACTTTCTGTGTGCAGTTTACGGGCTCTCAGGTGTTAATTCAGGTTTGACACAGGTCATTAATTTGCACTGTAAATACAGCATGTTATTAGGAACTAACCAAAACTGTTCTCCTGTTATCATTGTGCTTAGCATACGTTACTCTGCCTGTTGTGATGTTCTCTTGCTACTGCTATTTTTTCTCCTTTTATTGATTGTATCCTAATTGATTTATGTAAATTATGAAATTATCTAAATGATATTGTTCTTTGCAGACTGGTTAACCTCTGCCCATCTTTTAGCTGTTACTTGAAATACCCATGCTGTCTTATAACTACTGTAGTCAACATATTCTGACCCAGCGCTGTCAACATTACTATTTAAAATTTATCATGAAGGTGCAGTTTATTTGACTAGGAAATGAGGGACGAAGTACAATCTCACATGCTCTTTAGAGAAACAAAGGGAAGAATAGGGGCAGGTCAGCTGATTCATCCTGAGCTGCCACCCTCTGTTATTTGTCTCCCATAGCTCAACTCTGACCTACATTTAAAAAAAACAATGAGATACTTCTTTATTTCTAACATAATTGTAACTTGGCTCAAAAATTTTTTTTACTTTATGTATTTTTTGACATTACATAGATCAGACTATGGAATAATACAAGCAATGTGACTGCAAGGACAAATAAAGGAAAGGAAAAATGTTAATGTCCTACCGCGCATTAAAGGGGAAACTCATTTTGTTACTAGCTAATGCCTTTAAGAAAGATTTAGAAGGAAGCTGAGACAAAAAGAAATCACACAGAAAAATCAGAGAACATTGCTTATAATCATACAAATATATGTTATTTTATTGAATATTATATCAGAATAAGACACCTCCTTTCATTTCATGTAGGAGTTATTGTAGAAATGTACACAGGTCTGATGGCAATCATGGAGAGAGGGTGAATTGAGGGCACGTGTCTGTCGATACTGAGAGGGAGTCATCCGTAAGGAGCCAAAGAACATTAAAGTATGCATGCTTTGCAAAAACCACAAAATTAAGAAAAAAAACAACCCATGTCAGTAATTCTTATTGCAGACTGTCATTATAGCCTGCAAGTTGTGAGTGCAGTTAGCGTGTTAGATTTGTTTCCCCTCCTTGAGTGCAGGCTGGTAGTTCTGGTTGCATATTGCTGGTCTTTACTCCTGCTTTGCTGCTTCTTGGCATATCCAGAAAAGCCAGAACGTCCCTGCTTCTGCTGCTTCTTTGGGCTCTTAGTGCAAGGAGTCCGTGTTTAAATCCCTGGTGACACTCGGGAGGTGCCTGAGGAGTCAGGCCTGCCCTCTGTGGATAATCGGTGCCAAGGCCAAGTGTTATTTATGGCTTCTTTATCTTTTTCATTTTTTAAAGTGTTTGTTTGTTTTTTGGAAGACAACGAGATCAGTTTGAGAGAGAGAAGTTAAGAGTCTGTAAGAACAAGAGTGGGAAACCGTCTGGAAGACTCGTGTGACCGTAAGTCTGATGCCACCAAGGTCATTGCTGAACACGTTTTGGCTTTAGAAACTGTTCTGCTGTTTTTATTTTATCTTTCTGACTCGGTCACACAGTGAGATTCTTTTTGGGGGAAGTTTCCCCATCGGTGTAAGTTCAACAGTGCTGAGCAAATACAACAAATAAAACCGAGCAAGTCCAACCAAATAGGAACAATTCTTCATAAAAACAACATCAACGAAAAACATGAAAAGGTATAACAACAGAAAGGCAGTAAAAAAAAGAGTACAACACTAACACAGTTAGTACAGTTTTAAGAAAATGAAAATATGTGTTAGTAGATCAGATATACAATATTTGTTAGTATTAACATATATGTAAACTGACAGCATCCTGCACATATAAACCATCCAGACGACTTCTGTTGTCTGGAAGCAGTCTGCTACCCTGTGTAGATTCCTCACATGCTCAGGCATTCCTGAAAGATGCCATTCACTCACTGAAACAGCAGAAATATCAGCATACTCCACAGGTTCAGCATATTTGGCTTTGTGCATTCTGCACATTAAACAAATCCTTATTCAGAAAGAACTATTAAAAAAACAATGTTGCAGCCAAGACTCAATTTCTGTTAGTGTCCTGTTTTGAATATTTAAAACGCTTGGAACAGCGAGCGTGGCACACATCCATTTTGTACTGCTGTAATTCCAGGACTGATTTATAATTTATTTAGGATGGTTTTTGAGGTATTTAGTTGGCACAACTGCCTTCAAAAATGAGATCCATCAGTTTGAACCCCACTTAGGTTATGCAAGAGGGAAAGGATTTTTAGAAAACTGTATTTTATAATGGTGTGCATATTGTGTTATCCAATTTATATTAAATCTCTTGTGTATGGACCACTGTCATGTACCATTAGTGATTGTTTGTGAGTTGTAATAGATAAAATAATTCATTGGGATAGCATTAATCAAATTCAGTGAGATGCTGCATTTTGACTATTTAAACTTACAGCATAGCAAGGCGGTGGCATCAAAACCACATTAGGAACCCACGACGAGCACATTATAACCACATTAGGGTATGATGCAAACAGCCAAATGTCATGATATATTGCCATCTTATTAAAATTCTGTGGAAGAAAAAAAAATTCTTGAAGTTATGCCTTCAGCACTGTGGCTTTCTGCCCCTGATTAAAAATTCTGCCTCTTAGCAACCAACTACATCCATTAGAGGGTGCTAGTTAAACATAATTTTTCCCTTTAATTTGACAAACTCCATGGCGCACATTTCTGTACTGTGAATGCAGGTTAAGTTGGTTCACGGTTTTGTGGATTTTTGAGGATCATTAGTGTTCATTAGAAAGCAATAAGAAAATCCTGCATGCAGGTAAAATAGATTTTGTAAAATGTAAAACTCAAAAAGGTGCATGGCTCAGATTGAATTTGTGTAGCGCATGGATAAATGCTATGCCTGAAAAGGCCGTTTTGTATTTGCGCATGTCAAATGAAATGTTACCAGGGTTTGCTGCAAAGAATTCCCTGGATGTTGGTTAGTTATTGTACAGTGCAGTAAAACTGCTGCTTCTAAGGTTCAGTTTACCTTTGGTTTAACTGGTTTACTTTTCGCAGATGTGTGTCTCGAAGCAGACTACGGCTACTGCTGCTCACACTGTTCCAAAATGAGAGAAAACTATTTATTCATCATCCAGTGTAAAAGCCTCCTCCACCGGGGGTTGTCCATGTGGCTCCTTTGTTGAGTTTACAGGTTGAAATCAAACAACAGCCCTCTGAGTTCATCATGATCAAATGGATTTCCCTGTCTTTGGCAGACCTTGGGGAGATTTTTGCACCTATTGCAGGGTTGATGTTTTTTTCGTTTGCGTTTTATTGAGTCTATCGATCATTATTTCAGTCTCATGCCCTTTCTTTTTTCTCGCCTCTCTGTCTTGTCTTACCATACTGTTAGTCATAGATACACACACTCACACACAGAGACCTTATAAAGACACTAAAGGTATGCACACCTACACAGGCAATGTGATGTTGAGAAGAAACTTAATGGGCTGTAGGTACTCGGTTAAGGGATCTGTGTGGGATAGGGATTACGACTTTAAACCTCTCATGTGTGGGCACGCAGACTATAACATTTTTTTTTTTAAATTTTCCGTGTCACCACCTTACTGTTAGCTTTGCGAGACCTGTATTCATAAATATATTCTCACTTGCAAAGCAGAACAATTCAGACTTCAAACTACAATAACAAAGATCCTCTTAACAGCTTTTCTACTTTTAGGACCACCATGTCTTTTTCCTCTCCTAACTTTTCCATTCAAGAGCATGACTAGTTTCACTTAACAGCTGCATTGCTTAACTTCTCTACATTGCAGAACATTGCTTCATGGCCATAAAGCCATACTTTTCCATTTAGCCCCTCTGGTAAAGCATTCAACTTTGTTCTTCATTTCACGTCAGACCTGACATTCTCTGATCTAGGCTGTCTACTTGCAGTATCACCATCAGACAACTTACTGTGGCATTCGTCATTACTACAGAGGTGAGGACTGATTGGCTTTTGGGACTAAGGAATCTACGGAGGAATTTGGATCAAGCGACAGAGGGTGCTGAGGGTTATTTCTTAAAATCTTCTTTAAAAAATGAACTGGAGCTTCAGAAATATACATTTTTATACTCTTTTGTGTTTTTAAAGTTCCTATTAGTTGCAAGTCTGGTAAAAAAAAAAAAGCTATTACATCTCATTCCTTTCCTGTCAGTCATTCACTGCGTTGGGCTTCAAGTACTTCCCTTTCATAGAGTGAACTTGTGATCAACTTCAGAATTCAAAATCGTGTGCTGCCTGCTGTGCAGACACATTTATATCATGCAGTAGTTAGTAATGCATGGTTAGAACCCATATAAGGCTGTACCAGACTCCTCCGAGAGGCAGAACATTGGGTTTCCAAAATAGATATTTGTAGGTCTGCAATGCAAGGACAAAATATCCAAATTTAAACTGAGTGAAGCTCCCTCTGGAAAAGCCCAGAAAAATGAAAGACTTGATAAAAAAATGAAAAGCCCTCCAACTAATTTCCTCCATAGACCCTCTGTCCTAAATAGCACACAGTGCCTCTTTGTCTCACATTCATTATCATACCCACATGCCGCGCGCAATCCTGCCAAAATTCTTGCTTACTTTACTGCACACATTCCTTATCAACATTCCTCAAGAATACACCTCCTAATCCGTCACTCTTCCTAAATAACCGCCACCGTGTGATGACTTCTTTACAATTCCGCACACAATTTCCGACTTACTTTTCACCCTCAATACGGCACATTCGTAAAGCCTCTATTTCACTTTCTGTAGCATGTCTGCACATTTGCACATTATGTGACCATTCAAATTAAACTCTATTGCCAATGCACAGAAATTCCTAGAATTATCGGGGAATTTTTAGCAGCCATCTAATAGGCTTTTTTTTTTCCCGTTTGGCTTCCCCATCTCCCAACATTGCTCTTTCCTGTCATAGCGAGGGACTTAACGCTGTCTGTGTTTGTTGGTAGTATCCATGCACCATTCACTTTGACTGAACATTGTGGTGACATTTGTTTTTCCCCTTACCAGAGCAGACAGCACCCAACAGCAGCCATTACTGAAATATCCCTGACATCTCCCATTTAGACACCTTGTATCAGGTCAGTTGCATACAATTCTAAAATTGCATGCAGTTCAGTCTCGATGCAATCAAAATACCGGTTAATTGAAACTAAAAGAAAAAGTTACATTTAATGAAGATTCCTTTGAGGACACTCATTCATTTAAAATATATACACATCACACAAAAGATGTGATGAGTGGTACAAAGTATCACCTATTCCACGACACAGACATGTCAAAGACATTGTGCTGTGTCTGAAGGACATAGTAGAGGTTACCCACAGTTTCTCTTTCTATCCTCTGTGCATGCACTCATTCACAGAGAATCTTACCTAACATTTATACTCTAAAAGACAGCGACATAAGGGGGTTAAAACACAATCACAGCAAGACGTTCACTCAGACAACTACATTTTTGAGGGCAATTCTTCCAAGGTGATTTGATAAAGCTAGTGAGTGGATAAGCTGCCAGACATCCTCAGAATAACAAGTGCTCCAACTCAGAGGCTCCTTCGGCTTTGATGTTGGGCTTCAAACCTGGCTTTACTCTGACAGCAGATGCCGAGCAAAGTGTACACTAGCGTGCTTTTTCAGGTGACTGATCCACCCCGGGTTTAAAATATGAGCCAGTTGTTTCATTTGTAGCCTTTAATGAGCGAGCGCCATAATTAGCGATCACCTGTTAGAGATTACTGCAGTAGAAAGAGGGTGTCATGCACTGTCTCACTTACTTATGCTGCCCCTGTTTTTGTTTTTGCTGGTATAAATATTGCTCAAGCCTTTTGACCCTTTCCATTAGAGTCTGGAAAAACAAAAACAAAAATACATGAAAGTAAATTATATTTTATGGCTCATCTTCCCAAGAAGAGTAGCTGCTTCAGGTTATTAATTTATTTTACTGGGAACCACTGCTTACACCTACACCAAGCAGTTCCTTGCTCCTGAACTTTATAGCATTTGTTGTGAAATTCAAATATTCCGCTTTCTTATCTCCAGCAGGACTGAAGCAACCATCCCCACCTCTCTGCTTATTCAATATAATGTTTTTAGCATCATCCGGTTATTATCACAGCTAGCAAAGAAAGCAAACAAAAGAGGAAAAGGATTCGTTTTTAGTTGCTGCTGACCTGACCCGACCCAAGCTTCCTGCAGATTTCTTTCGTCTCTAAGCCATATCATCTCACTTTGAGCTTTAGTTGACCTTAGTGATTAGCTGGTAGGCAGATGGTGGGTGGAAAGCTGGCTGAGCCACACTGTCACCAACTTTAGGGCTCAAGAGGGAGCCCATGGGTGAGGATTATCCTGCGGAGTCAGTGCTGGATGTGTGTGTGAGTGTGTGTGTGGTGACTATACAGTACAATAGAGCTGATGATGGGGAAGGCATATGAGAAAAGATGAAACTGTCAGCAGACAAAGAAGCTTGATCCTGACGGAGAAATAAATGGGGCTGCACGTAAGCAAATCACAACAGGTACAGAAAGAAGTGACACTGGGAGAAAGGGTGGGGTGGCGGTGGTAGGAGTTCTGGCTCAGACCCTGGGCTTTCCTTCTGTGGTTTCAGGTGAGGGGGGACTCCTCTCTTAGGTCTTCTTGGCTGCTGATGGACTGCTGACTCTTTATCCCTCAGCATCTTGGAGTGCACTTCTGGAATGAGGTGGCCGCTGAGGACCATTCCCCCAGCCACCCTCAGTGCATAGTGGGCAACTTTGTTTCAAGTGTCACTGCTACCCTTTGTCCCACCCTCATTCTCCTGTGCTATGAGGCCTCAGCCTTGGGAGCTTCTTTCTGTCCATTCTTTAGGGACGGCGAATCTGATGTCTTCACCGTCTTCCGAGGTGGGCTCACTGGCTCACTGACTAGCTCGTGTAGCGATGGCTCCTTATACATTGCAACTGTGTAACAAAGATAGGAGTCGTCAGTTAGCAATTTAGGTTAATGATTAATAACTGAGAAATAAACTATTTCAGTATAGTTTTTTTTTAATATACCCTCTATAACTTTAGGCAGGAAGTGTGCCGCTCCCTTGGTCTTCTTTACCCGGTTGCCCTTCATGACCTGACCGTCACGGTTGATACCGATATACCAGGAGCGGCCAGACTGGGTCTGCCGATAGAGCATGGAGGAGTACGTAACGTAGTAGTTCTCAAACACGCTCTCTTTGAACCTGCACTCAGGAGTGAAGTGCTCCTGAAACGAGATATGGAATAGGAGAAGAATTGCATTCATATTGTCAAACTGAACATAACAAGAAAAAGTAATCTGCAAATGTGATGAGAATATTTCTAAATTATCGCAAGTCTTTGAACTTGGACTACACTGCATGTCAGCCCAGACTAAAAAGGAAACAGAAAAAAAACAAAAAGAAAAATATGGGATGCATACTGTGAAACACATTAATGAGGTGGCTGTTTCCGGAGGGAAAGGAAGGATAGAATTAGATCTGAACTTGTGTTTCTTTGAGAGCATGGATGTTCCGGTCTTTTAAGAACAGCAAGAAAAGGTGCAGACTATAATATAGATGTGAGAAAAAGCATTAACATCTCTGCTAAACATAACAACTACCCAAAGGGAAAATGCATAGATGGAAAAAGAAGATGAAAGACACCTAAACAATGACACCAACACACTGCAGTGTGCACACATACATTGCTGTGTGTACATATAAATGACATCAAAGTGCAGGAACTGCTTCGGAGACATCACAATATGCTGAGCCTGGGATGATTATAGGGGTGAGGATAATACTGGTAAAGTTTACCAGTGTTTGGAATCACTGTTTCTGCAATATGTATGCCATAATTGGTTGTGACATGCATACCACATTTAATTTGTGTTAAGCTTATAATTATGACATGCATAAGAAGTTGTTTTTAATGTGTTTCCTGGTTAAATAAAAGTTACATAGACAGAGACGCCCATTGCAGAGCCAAACACCACAGTTTCCAAAAAGTAGACACCTATGTGGAAATTACCCAACTGCAGTTGGTTAAAATTATTATTCTTTTTTTATCAATGTACAGTGGCAGTTACTAGTTAAAAGATGTTACGAAGCCACAATCCGCTACCCAAAATTTCAGCCCTGACAAATGGCTGCACCACCGCCTCTCTTTAAACCCTCTTTTTTGCTCTCTTTGTAATTAGATGTTGTAACATGATGTAAAGTAAATGGCTGAATTTCATTTAAAAAAATACAATAAAAATCAGTGAAGTCAAGTGTAACTATATTCTGTACTGGGACGTGAACGCCAGCATGGAAGAAGCTAACGCTACAGCTGCTAGCACTGCAGAGGCCAAACTAATCTGAAGTTCTGCACATTTCAGCGACACTTCTAGCAACGGTAACGTTATATTAGCTATTAGGTCTGGCTTTGGGGACAGGGATGGGGACACCCTTTTGCGCCTGGGGACAGCTAGACTGGGACATAACGATAAACGTGTTTAACAGTTTCAGCTCTTAAAATGCAGACTGAATACTCATTTGACCAATATTTAATTTTGTATTTTTAAAGCATGCTCACCTTCAAATCTTTTCTCAGGATTTTGTATCTTTTTCGACAATTAGAAGACTAGTTGCCAATAACATCCTTAGTTAAAGGCCCGGTGGAAATAGTTTTTGTTTCTGTAGTTAAATTTAACCTGTTGTGACAACAATATAGCATTTTCTTTTTGACATATAGTGAGTGCCATTTCTTGAGCATAGAACATAATGGCTATAACACTGCTAGCATTAGCTACAGCAGAAACAAGCAAAGAAACGGCACAGCCAAAATACCAAAGTTGAGCATTTAAACCAAGGGGTGGTCAAAGGAGCTTGCAAAGAAAAGCGTCTGGACTTCTTTAAGTTACTTGAAGACGTTTCCAGATATAAACCTAGTGGGAGTAACCCACTAGGTTACTCCCAATAGGTTTATATCTGGGACTCTCCACCATTTGACCTTAGAACTGAAGAAGCTTCTCGGATGAGAGGTGAAACGTCTTCAAGTAACTTAAAGAAGTCCAGACGCTTTTCTTTGCAAGCTCCTTTGACTACGATGACCTGGATGACTGAGAATATTCACAGACAAACCAAGGGGTGGTTTCTCAGTGGCCCAAATTAATGAATTGACTTAAAACAAAACATGTTTTTGGGCAGAGTCAACGCTGAGGTGTGAGAAAGTTCACATCTATAGGACCTCTAAATCTTAAAAAAACTGGTTGAAAACAAACTAGATTTTAAGGGTCACAAACTAGTATTACATTTATATTTACGATACATGTTTGGGTTTTTTTTGTTGGTTTTTTCCAGACTCAAATTAAACAACAGGAAGATCTTTCACCCTGCAATCCCCTAAATGAGATTATTAATATAGGCCACTCTCATGTAATGCCAATTGTCCGTGACTGGCCAAATGTGTATAGACAACAGAAAATCAAATTAGAAGAACTTGGATCATGTCCAACAGTTAAACCATTCTTTGTAAGTGATCATGTCCCTGCAGCACTTTCCCTCTCTCTGTACTCAGTGTAAGGGCTACTGAACACTGCATAATGTTGGCTGGTGAGATTAACCAATTGTGACAGATATACATCACTCTTAGTCTCCATCAGGGTCTGGACAGAGTCTGTCCCCTGTCAGAGAGCAAAGCCAATCTGTTGGATTGATTAAGTGAGAGCAGCAGGCCAGAAATGGCTGAGTGGAGAATTTCTGAGACTCGGGACAAACAGTAGCATCAAACTTGGCGTAGACACGTTTTAATAAAGAGACATAAAAGACCTTCAGTTTCAAACTTATCACAGATCATCAACTTTCTGCTTTATAGGGGAGTTTTATCCTTTAGCAAGGTATTTCAGGACTGTGTGTCCTCCCTCCATTTATTTCTGACCCACTGCTCCACCAATGTTCATGTCCATTTCACTGCCACCTTCCTACCATATGAAAATAAGCTTCTACCCTTAACTCAACAAACACTCCTGCTACCACCACATTGCAGAGCTATTTTAAGATCCACTGACAGGTTTGATATCTTCTGCTGTGCTAACACAGAGGATGGGATCGATAGATGATCTGCTTCATTCATTATTAATCAGACCAGAGAGCAAGAGGGTGGGAAGTGCGGGAGACAGAAGGGGAAAGGTAGGGGAGACTGGAAAGAAAGCGGAAGATCACTCAGAGAGGACAGAGGGGTTGGTGGGTAATAAAGGAGATTAAGAACTGAGAGAAAGGGAGATCCCTATTATCCCCCAGGACCAAAAGGAGCGCACGCTGAGCTGACAAGGGCTTTAGTCGTCAGCACCCCACAATCTAACACTCACATTCCTCTGGAAACAGAACCCATTACTACAGCGCAATGCCCCTTAGTTCAACCTCTGAAATGACACCAGTGATAACCCCTCTCCCAAGTCATCCTATAATTACCCTTCATAATCACGCCCCTGAAATTAGTCTAATGATAGAACTCATGTTTCCTGTACTTCATTCAAGTAGTCTCAGAAGATCTAAAGAAAAACCATTCTGCGAGAGCAGGCAGGACAGTAAAAAAATGTCCTTATAATACAAGGATTTTTCATGATGACCTACCGCAGTGGCTTCTATTGCTCTCCCTAATGGATACAAATATGTTACTGTAATTATCGCCATCTCTCAAACTCACCTTGAGGTAACCTTTAGACCCTAGCAAAACAATAGTTTCCACTCCCACTGACAGCATCACTCAAGCCACCAACGTCTGCAGATGAATTATTGCTAATGATGTGTGGAGCGTTGCACATTTTAAAGAGCAATGAGGGAATATTTCCATCTAAGTGGTGGGTACTTGGACTGAAAACGAAATAAAAAATCTCCTTCTTTAACCGTGACTTATTCGGAGACTTGGCTAGCTAGCTTCCCTCTTCATGTGTCGCAAGCCAAAAAATTAATGCGAATGAAAGCAGATGAGAAAGATAATATGTAGGGTCCGTGCGGAGAATTCCTAAGATGGGTAGAACCTTTTTATGATGCAGAGTATCATCCAGACCTTCCCCGCCCACACACGCAACCTCCTTCCTCATTCCTTGTGTGTGATTACATCTGTTCTACCTGCTTCAGTAAGCTTTGCTCTCCACCACGACCATACTCTGGAAGTGCATCAAGCCACACTCACACACTCACAGGGCAGAGTTCCCTAATCTTACCCTGCAGATAATTAGGATATAGGGGACAGGAGTGAGGTTGTGACTAATTAGAGAGAGTAATTCCATGCATGATATGTAATATCTTGTTCACTTTAATTTCATCATGCATGTACAAGCATGAAATCAGAACTGATGCCCCTGAAAATATAGCTCTATTTCTGTAAACCAAAACATCATTTGCATTTATCATGTTAAAACATTTGCAGTTCCCCATTTAGACAGCAGGGGTCATAGTGTCATGCAGGCTTCCTGCATCTATTAACCGGCCCATCAACTCCTTGTGTAATCTATGGGAAACTGTGAAATGTGCCCAGCTCCAGTAATCCCACCACATTCCCATAGTTCTGCATCACTGCTGCAGCAGCCCACTCACATGACAACATGAAATGTAAAGCTCATCCATGCAACATTCACCTAGTACACACACATACATGCTCTCTGCGTTCAGGAAGCCTTCCACCTCCCCCTCCCCAGCAGGGCATGTTGCTGATGTTGTTTGTCAAGCCAGATGTGGATGCACTATGACACGACGAGTTACATAAGTCAGTAGACTACAGAAGCTTATTAAGAGGGATTCAGAGAGGATGAGAATACTGTCTAGCACCACACATGTATGATCTGTCCCTAATGCAGTCCGGGGAGAAATGAAGCTCACATGACAAGAATAGAGTGGATGATAATGTGCTGAGACTCGTGGCTCTGCAGTGCTGATTGATAGCTGGAAGTCCCTTGTCAATATAATGCTGCTGAGAGTGGAGCTGTCGCTGACATTCCCTTCTTCCACCGTCGGCGACAGCGGTGACTGCTCCGCACTGCCCGCTGCCTTTATCAGAAAACCCTCTGCTTTAAATATTCTGGGACGCAGCACTGTGGTTAATAGCTATTCCATACAGTAGCAAATCGGATAATGTATCCTGACTATTTTGGTAGGAGAGCCACGGTACAGGCCGGCTCATGAATCCATCACAAAGAATAGGATTTTTGCCTTTCCTAAGTGCTCCTAATTGGCTGCCTTGGAAAAATGTCCTGCTTTATTG